TTTTATGAACCGAACGGATGTTTGTATTTTAAAATATAAAAAGAACTCCAAAGAAATAATGACTTAATAGTTTCTGATGTAACCATACTTCTATGACTATTTTTTATAACAAGAAGAGTCTGATGAAAATCCCTTCCTACAATTATAAATTTATTTTCGAAGTATATGTGTGCATGGCATAAGTCTCTCTTTTTGAGTATTTCCGAGAAATGCTATGATTTTTTAAATCTGGTAAGATCCAATGTAACATAGTTTTTTTACTTACTTAAGAACAAATTATATAATTATTTAAGGTTTAGTGCAATAAAAATAAGCAAATAAATTAAAATTTTATTATTAACTCTTACAAAATATTATACTTATCTGTTAATTACACTATCCCTTTAGTATTATTTTAAATCAGGCAACTTTATAAATTGACATAATTTGTATTCTGTGTAGTGGTACGGAGCCACCTCAACGCTTTGAAATACATCTTTCAGCCAACGAACAACCCAGGTTTGCAAATGGCCAGGTAACTTAGGGAAACTCTATAGTATAGCAAAGAGAACGCGAGGACTTGCTTTAACTTGACTGTCAAACAACTTCAGATGTGCGTTGCTTGTGATGACAGTAGCAAAAACGGGTTCTGCCTACGTAGTTTAACGCTGGAGGAAAAAATAAACACTTTTTTGTGGTAGACCGTGAGGTAGGAGATATAGCCACTGCACTACTGAATTTACCATTTAAGGTTAAATGGTACCTAACGTAAGCAATGTTGCCCGGACCGATGGCGGTTTGTACAACTGCGCGCGAGTACCAGTATCACACACTGGATACTTGCGCACAACGATATCGAGGTATAAAATGAAAGATAAATTTGAACACTTATTTTTATTGGATGTCAGGTTTTATACATGTGGGAGCAAGGCTCTAACTCTTTAGGATAATCACTAGAGGTAGGAACCCGATGGAAAACTGGATTTTCTTGCCCGTACGGGCCCCTTTTACACAAAATTTTTACCCACTGATGTTGTCACTTAAGAAGGGTTCGGCGGGAGAAGTTTGTGGCTTTCTAATGACTTATAATCAAATAGGATTGGATTTAGTGTTTTTCAACCAATTATTAAGATACACATGTAGGCTACTTCTCCCATGTCAAGCTCTTATCGCATAAGAAAAAGAGAAAGAAATTTTGGTGTTACTTATCTTTTTTTATCTTTCTTTACATAGGTAAACTGCTGGCATACTGCTCTGTGATTGGCTGTCAAAATAATGAACAGTCGTTGCACTGAAATATTGCTGTCATCGGAATACACGTCACTGGAATAAGCAGTCATAGTTTTACTACAAAATTGAAGTGAACCGTCGTTATTTCGGACCCCCTCCCCAAGAAAACTAAAAAAAGGTCTTTTCGTAAAGTGGCCATAAAAAAGTTTTGGTGCAACGTAGCTTCATTTTTCAAAAATACTCTTGTTCGTCAAGAGTTCATCTATAAAATCTTTAAATGTTGTTTCATTTAACCACGAGCAACTATGTTAAACATTAATGTTAAAAAAGTGGTCCTTCACGCTCACCACACTTGGATGGGTAGTGAGGTGGTGTTGGCTTACTCAGTTTGTTGTGGGTATGTTAAGAGCTATGATACCTACTTTGTGTCTAAATTCAAACTCTTAACATTTATTAGAACGCGAGTTATTTAATTTTTAAGAATGGCTGAAACGATAATTTTTTGCAATTTGCGAGAAAACGACTTAACCGATCGGAGCTTAACGTGGCTTTTTCTTTTTATTTGAGAATCGAGTAAATTTTGTTTATTCATCTTTTTCCGTACAATTTTGAGTTTTTTCTTCTAGGCACAAAAAACCTGTTTAAGCCTCTTTACTATTTTTTAAGGAGCCTTTGCTGAAGTTGTTAGGTATTTAAAAGTATTACAATTTGTTATAAGCAATGCAGAATACTTTAATCCAAAGACTAATCTCCAAGTCTTTTTTTTTTTTTTAGGAAACATAATGAGTAGTCATTCATTTGTACAAATGAAGAGGCGAAACAAATATAAAGAACTAAATTACAAAATATTGATAATGTGAAATAAGCCCGTATTATTATTACTGAAACAGTACAACATTGACAATCAAAGCTCACTAAGAGATATTTTTACGCTCTTTGCTAAATTAATTTCTTACTGGAGAATTGAAAATTTTTATGCAACAATCTAAAGTAATCTGAAGGGCGCATTATCCTGTTCAAGATAAGAAACGGAATTTTTCTTACTCATGAGTACAATCTCTAATGTAATTTAAAATACTTTCATAATCTTTTACGGGTATATTTGTAGAATAATGGAAACATTGTTTGAACGATTAATCGATGTACTGCAGTAGAGCAGTAATAGATTTTCAAGAATGTGTACGTTAGTAAACAAGTGAAACGTCTTTTGTTTTGTTTAAGAGAATAACTTCTTGTAAGATTTTAAAAACTGTGGCGATTTCAATCAGAATATATATATATGTATGTGTGTATGTGTGTGTGTGTGTGTAAATGGGGAAGTGGATGTATGATTGTTTGTCTGCAAAGAGAGACTGAATAAATCTGCCCAAGAGATGCACTAAACTGAAGGATACAGAGGAGAAGAGCGGCCCAAATTTTTTTCTTTTTTTTTTTTATATTGAGTCTTACAAGCTGTTCTGGCCCGAGAAAAGGGAGCTTGTATACAACAAATATGCGCCAGTAGTACATATTATACGCACTGGACATAAAGTTAGCGTGGAAGAAAAATATTGCGAGCCAAGTTCGGGAAGCGCAAGTACGAAATTGTTTTTGTTTCAATTTTGATTTGCATTATTGTGCTTTAAAATTCAAATGTGCCAAACTTTCTTTTCTACCCTGCAATAACTTTTCTTCCAACCCTTTGTTCGACTTTTTTATCCTGCACTCCCAAATTACTTGAAGGGGATTTAATGTAAAGTTTGTTGATCGTGAGATTAAATGTTTGGTCGAAACTTTTGTCCTACGAGACAGACCTGCTTGTTGTTAAATAATTATGATCCTGTGTTTGATTTAATGATTCGCTGGAAAGTTGTATATCGATCAGTGGAATGTCAATACAGCTGTCAGTTTTTTTACTGCTGTCAAGTTAATAGCTGATAATTATCCTTTTCGCAATTTTTGGACATAGTCCTTTGAAACGATTGACCTATGATTGTACGAGATCGAAAAACTATTAAGTAGCAAGACCTCTTGACATAAATTACAGGGAAAAAGTAAATTTGCAGTGAAAATAAGGAGAGCAGCCAATAATGTAGTGAGAGTAGCACTTAGTTTGTCCGAATCTCGAGAAAAGATGTAAGGAGGTACAAGAAGAATAAAAAGAGGTAAAAAACGAGGGCTTGAGTTGTAGCACTTTTTTCTACTCGTGGCTTTGAATATCCAACTTCGACGCTATGGTAGAAAGAACTTGGTCGAATAAATTGAAATACTTCTTACAGAGTCCTCTATTCTTACTTTCAGTCCCTGGCACTCGTCTCTTTCATTCTGTGCTATTTTTCCTCGGCCGACAAGAAAAGGAAAGCAAAAAAAAAAAAACACGTAGAAACTTGTGGGCTCTCTACGAGGTGCCTTACGGGGTCTTTTTTTTTTTTTTTT